ACCAATAGAAAATATTACGGAAATATCTGAAAACCATAACCTCAAGAATAATCCACCTTGCGTATGAAAAACAAACAACAAGAGGAAAAGCTGTACTGGAGAATCAGGTCTGCAGGGTTACTGAGCACGGAGTTGAGAGAGGAAGAGATCGGCCACTCGAAACGTCCTTCCCCATAAATAACGGGTGAGATCCACTTGCATCCGGCAAGTGTTTTGGAAGTCTGTCATTTTCAGAGGTTGTCTGAGATCTTGCTACTTTCCCAAGCCTTTCAAAGAAAATTTACTAAAGCAAAATGAAAATGAAGACAGCCCAGACGCTTTGTTTTTCCATGATTCATTCTACTTGGGACTGAACCGGGTTGTCTGCTAATTTTATTTGGTGGCCATGTCTATACAAACAAATTGAAGTGGACATTGCGTCATTAGCTGGATGGCTTGGTTAACTGTTCAGCAATATGGAGAATTAAAGCATCTTCAAATAATTTCTCCACTACAGTTATTATAGCTCCCTTTCTGCGTTGGACACAATGGTTAAACCAATCTTTCAGTGCCGTCTTTGTTTTGTTGGTGGTGAGGTAGCAGAGTAGCGAACACTGCTGGCTTAGATTCTAGACCGTCACTCAAAAAATCTGTGCTATAAACCTATCAAAAACAGAGAGAATGGAAACAGCTTCATTGAAGAAATTGTGATAAAATGAAGCCCAAACTTTCTAATTCCTCTGATTCCCAGATGTAGCTCCTAGGAATGGGGAAAATGAGTACTTCTTTCTAGCAGTTTCTAAGCTTGTCCTGTGGGCCTAGTGGGAGATGTGATCTGGTGGGAAAAAGGCCCAAGAACAGGCATGGTAGTGGGGTGTCAATAAGGACTCCAGAACAGAGTCGACCCTCCACAGAGGGCCCATTTACTAATGCATACATTTGGGATGTGTAAAAGGAAAGTAGGAATATTCATAGCATCCTCTTCTTTTGCCCGCAGCCCCCTCCCTGTTGTGACTCCCACCGCAGGAGGAAGGCTTGGTGATTTGAAAAAGCAGGAGCTGTGGAAGTCAGAGATGTTACATTTCCTTGGGAGTAGGAATATTCATAGCATCCTCTTCTTTTGCCCGCAGCCCCCTCCCTGTTGTGACTCCCATCGCAGGAGGAAGGCTTGGTGATTTGAAAAAGCAGGAGCTGCGGAAGTCAGAGATGTTACATTTCCTTGGGAAGCCGAAGGAAAGGGGTGGGGGAGAAACAGAAAGAACCATCCTAGGCTGGCTTTTTGGAGGGTGTTGTAAAGTTTGGGAGAAGCCAAGAACGTGGAGAGCAACTGACAAAGAGGCAGTGAGGGAGGATTTTAGGACGTGTTCCTGGCATTATACACGCAAACTTTCCCCAGCATTTTTTAAGAGACATCAGTAAAGATTTAAATTACTGTTCAATTTTTTTTGACTTTGATCTTGTGTTTCATGCAGCTGCAGCTTTGTCCTCAGATGGGCTAGGGGGTTGTTCAACTTTATGTGGGTTCCACAGAGAGTGACCTTTCTCCTGTTAGAGCAAGGTCAAACCTCAGAAGTAGGTGGGACTTGGAAGCCCCTTCCTGTCCCTCCTCCTACATCACCCTCGGGTGTAACCCTGACCACCCACACCCGCACCACCACATTCCCCCTTGGCCTCCCCACCCACAGCAGAAGCCCATGCTCCAGGGCTTGCCTTCTCTTCTCAGTCACATCAAAATTTACCTGTCATGTTTCATTTGATAAAAACTGGCTTACGAAATTGATAAATTAATGCAATAGTGTTAATGATTAAAAATTATACTGATATGTAACCTATTCTAGGCATATTTGGATATAATAAGGCCTTTCCAAACCCCCAGGTGCTTCAGTAACAAATAACATGACAGGAAACACATAAGTGAACCATAGCTCAGTGCCAGTTATAGAGTATGTGTCAACATGTATTTCCAGATTGAAATTATTTTCAGGCGTATTTGTATGTGGTGAGGAGTGACTGTCCATTGACCTGAATCATATCCTGCACCTAGGGGCAAGAGTGGCCGGACTGCACACAGAGAGAGCAGGTGGGCTCTTCCTTGGGTGACCAAGGCCCTGGGGAATATGACTGCGTGGGAATGAGGGGCGGCCAAGCCTAACCCAAACCATTAACACAAACAGTGCATTTCTGACTTACTTGTTTTCAAAGTCAAGGTTATTTTTCTTGTGATTTTGGCTACTCATTGGGATATATGCCTGTTCATTAGATGTCAGTTTATTTCTTATTTAGCTTTCGTATTGCCTGGTCACCTGCTCCACAACTGTAATTGTAATTTCCAGTTATTTAGCAAAGACCACACTTCCTGGGTTTATATAATCATTGAGCAATTAAGCTGAGGCTCTAGCTGTTCTATTTTCTTCTCCTATTAGTTGAGTCATTCATTGGCCTGTTTCTCAATATGTATTTACTAAATATCTACCATTTATAAAGTTTTGTTTGACATATTGAAAAGAAGGAATATATAATTTTACCCTACCTCAAGTTGCTTGGGTTGTATAAGAAAGAAATGACACAAACAGTACAATGCCTGGCAGTGTGTGCTTCATGGATGTGAGTATTAGCAGTTCACAGAGAGAGGGACCCCATTGGCTTAAGTCATCAAAGGAGAGGAGTCCTGGGTGGAAAAAGGCACAAAGCAAAGAGGAATCTCCATAGTTGGAGCTCAGAATTAGGAAGAAGACATTGCAGACCCAGGTGGAGAGTGGGGTGAACGTACGGGAAGAAAGAAACACAAAGTATGTCAACATGATAATGCAGGAAATTTAGTCACTGATTATAGGGAGGATTTAAACTTTATCAAAACACACAGAGCAAGGTACTTACTTTGAAATGGATTTTGACTCTATATTCAACACCTTCCTTTAGCACAAAGGTTTCTTTTTTGAGGGCTGTGAGATCCCCTGTAGAAGAGGGTTTAGAAAGAATTCATTCTCCTCAGAAGCAGATACACAAAGAGATGAATGAAGTTGAAGCTCCCAAGCAATTTGTTGGGCCCATCTGAGCAATATGGCCTGTAAGACGCTCCACTCAAAGTGTATTTTAAATTAGTCCATGTTCACACACACCACACACATACACGCACTCTTAATGCCTGAAACCTTACAGCTCAGTTGTGAAAGAAATGTGATAGGGTTTATCCCCACCAAAAATTGATAACAATGCTGACATTTGCAGGATATTACCAGTAATGAGTTATGCAGATAAATCTTCTCTAATTGTCAATACTAAAAACAAGTTTTAATCAACCATCTTAGAGGGAAGTCTGAATTGTCTTTTTACTCTCTCTATTGAAAATGATATTACCTATATGTGACCAAACAAAAAGGTGATTAAAGATTATGCCCGTACCCTTCAAATAAAGAAATATAAGAAAAATGTTATATGAGTATAGGAGTATCAGCTATTTGTTTTCATAGATCTGGTAATGTTGGTGGCATTTTTTAGCTTTTATGAATTTACTTGTTTTGATTCCTTTTTATCAGTTAAATAAATATTCACTTTTGTACTTACTTTTGTATTTACATTTGCAATTTTATATTATTTTTCTTAAGGAAGATCACTTAAGTTATGAAAGCTTCATGCTTCATAAAACTGGGATCTGCGCCTACTTCCTGCACCCTGGTGAGGGAGGGAGTCAATCTCTGTTCTTTCTTCATGGGATCTTGTATAATTTGACATTTTGGTGAGTGTGTGTGTTTTGCACAGCTCGGTGCATGTGGTTCATGAACACAGCTGGTACTAGGATATATGAGGGGTCTTCAAAAACTTCATGGAAGCGTTCATATTATCTTTTAATTCCATTTTTCCACAAACTTTTTGAAGTGCCCGTATAGCTCTGGGGTTCACCTCAGTGGCTTCTTTGTGACAGAAAAGCAAAGTTGGGCTTCCTCTGCTGAGAAAGAGGACAGAGACCAAATTTTCCCTGCAATATCATTAGGCCCTTCTGAACAGAACAGGTTTCCTTAGTGCTAATTCAGACTTTGTCTCGCAAACTGGCAGTTGTACCTGGTTGCGTTACCCAATTGTGCACAGGAAGAGGTCTGAGAACGGGGAGACAGAATGAGTTTCTCTCCTGCAGAGATGCTAGCAGTGGGTGTAGTTGAACTTGTGTGTGTGTGTGCTCTAACGATTTCAGTTGAACAGGAAGTGTGTCTCCTCAGCCTCTGATTTCCTCCTTCTGACAAAAAAGCCCATATAAGGCCAAGAGTGGATGTGTCCTGTGTGAGGCGAACTACCCGCTGCTAAGCCTGCTGTTCTAGACTCGGGCTTTTCTGTCTTACAGGAGCTGAATTTTTGAATTTGGAAACAATTTTTTTCACTAATGACCTGCCTTTGATGTGTCCAGTCTCCTTTTTCCATTTCTATCACAAGCCCATTTCCCCCATAAGACCTCCCCTCCCAGTCTCTCCTCCTCTCCTCAAGACCTAAGTCTCAGAAAGGGACTTGACCCTTCGTCATAGTGAAAGAAAATAACATCTTAATTTGTATGTCTTTGGAAGGGGAAATGGTTTGTTTAGCAAGAATCAGAGATTTAAGCTAAAATAATTACGTATTTAGCAGTGGAATTTCTAGCATTTAGCAGGTCTTGGATTACTTCTGGCCTTCAGGTAAGTTTTGTGGCTGATTTACGATGAGTAGTTTCTCTGACATTTAGACTGTATAAACATTACACCTCCAGAAGCACACAGCTTGTTTCTCAATATTTCCATGAGAACTCTTTTACATGAGTACTAATTATTTAGACTGTATAAACATTACACCTCCAGAAGCACACAGCTTGTTTCTCAATATTTCCATGTGAACTCTTTTACATGAGTACTAATTCTCCTACTATCACGTGGAGATAGAAATCTGAATTAAATATGATACAAGTAAGTATATCAAGTATATATACCTACACCTTCTTCCATTAAATAGAGATAGAGATTGGGCTTTTCATGAAACATGGTAAATACTGTGCACTCTAAGAGCAATGATTTGTGAACTGGTCCCAGAATATATTCCTCTGGGATTTGCCTTACTAGGGTTTCTTTTTGATGGAACAGGGGACAGAGACCAAGTTTTCCCTGTGATCTTAGGCCCCTCTGAACAATACAGATGTGTCCACTTACCAGTAAGGTCCATGGTGATTGGTCCTGGAGCACAGTCACAAACCAGGGTAAGCCGGGTGACAGTGACATTGGGAACTGTTGGGTCTGCAGGATTCAAAAAGGCATGTAAGCACAGGGAAGAGATTTCTGTGTGTAGTGTACGTGCATTTAAGTGTGAGAGAGAGAATGTAAACAGAAAAGTGGTTTCTCGATCTGGAGTAGAAATAGAATAGGAAGTGGCAGATTCACCATGCTTGGTCTTGACGGCTTTATAAATGACGGCAATGGTATTTCTGCTTCAGGCACTTGTGGGTCTATCACAATGACTAACATCAAACATTTCCCGGGTGGCTGTAGGTAAGGCAGTCTGCTAGCTGGGCACTGCCCCTTCCTATCGTTGGGCCAAGTCTTGTCCTGCCATTGTGTATGTGGAGGAGATGAATGGTTAGGTAAGGACTGAGAAGGAAAAAGAGGAGAGAGGGGAACGCAGTACTCAGTGGTAGTCTGGGATTCTCTCTCAATCCTCCCTACGTGTGATTTTTGCCCATCGCATTGCTGACTTGCATCTGCTATCGAAAGAAGACTTAATTATTCATTCCACAACTTCATTGATCATATATAACTTGCGCCTCACCCATCTAACCCTGGATGCAGGTGCTACTCTTTCCTCTGCTCCTACTCCTGGGGGACTGAAAAGTATCTGAGACCCTCTACCTGCCCCCTGTCCCTTACGCACACACCTGCTACCACAGGACCGTCCCCCAGCAGTGTTTTCTTGTACTTCGTTAGACTTTCATCATCTTTGTCCATCTCCTGCAGCTCCTTCAGGGACTTCTGAGGTGGAGGCTTGTAGTTGAGCTTGCCGTCCAGGTCATCATCATCAGCCTCCTCCACGTGTGGCTCGGGGGCCTGTTCAGTCATGTTGATCTATTTCAGACAGACAGCATGAAAGCACATTAGCCAAGTGTCAGTGGATACAGGAGGTGTTGTGAGGCTGCCGTTAGCACCATCCTTGCCCTGCTGGACTTCTGTAACTTTCAGACAGACAGCATGAAAGCACATTAGCCAAGTGTCAGTGGATACAGGAGGTGTTGTGATGCTGCCGTTAGCACCATCCTTGCCCTGCTGGACTTCTGTAATCATTAGTAATTTTCCAGATGTTTCCCTAATTCAACTTCATTATATTTCATGAAATAAGAATACAACGCATTCCAGTCATTTCTCTGACCTGCTTGAATTTCTCTGTACTCTGATGCATATCTCCCATTCATTAAATAAAACTGACAAGAAAGAAAATAACTCATTTGTGATTAATATACTACAGATGAAGCAACACAGCACAAGCAGTCCTGAACAGTGAAGCAATAGCCCAGTTCAAATAGTCCTAGAAATTATCACGGTCCTCCAAATCCAGCCAGCCTTGCTAGTGTCAAAGCTCTCAGCATGCACAATACATTATGATGGTTTAAAGAGTCGGGCAGAGTACCTGCCAAAGCAATGGTTCGCTTCCTATTAAATTAATCTTCCCCCGAACTCCTGAAACACCTGAAAGGTGACTCATGAGGAATTGTAGACCTCAATGATGCTTGCCTGAGGTGTCTAATAACACTGCTAATGACTCCTTGAGGGCAGGTACTAGGTTCCATGTTTCTCTTGAATCCTCCATAACATTTGGATATTCAGGCATTTTATACATTTTCACTGATTGATTTATTCGGTTCTAGATCTAAATATATTCTGTTCTTTTGAAATGCCACAAAATAGCAAAGGACTTTTTAAATTCCTCTAGACAAAATAGTAAGTATAAGTTTGTTCTCAGCACCCTTCCCTCCATCTCCCCTTTCTAAACCCACTTCTCTTTTAGTCCCTCCCTCCCCTGCCCATGTTTCCAGTGACCTTATCCTCCAAGGCCCCACCTGGGCATACCCTGGAGTCTTCCTTCATCCATCATAATCTACATTTACTTGTTTTGTGTTAAAACATTGAGGGGAAATCTAGTAAAATTATTCATGTGTTAATGACTGAATAATAGATTCAAAAACTGTTCCTCTTTGCACATGTATTGAAATGAACCTTAGAGGTGATATATTTCAACTCCTCATTTAATCATTGAGAAAATTGAGATTGAAAAGTTAAGAGAATTGCCCAAGTACTCATATTAGGGTGAAATTGAGTGTTATATGTTATCTCCAAGAAAAAGGAATCCCTGCTGGAAGAATTCCAGGCCCTACAGCTGACAGCAATGGAGGAAGGATGTCTGGGAGGTATTTGGCCAAGGAGATCATTTTCTGCTTTCCCTCAGTTCTACCTCGAGGGTAACTCTCCTCTCTGCTTGTGGGTAAGGCCTTCATTTCTCCTAAGTGACACAATTACAAGACAGTATCTATCACATCTCATCCTTAGTGACTCTGCAAACTTCTATAAAGTCCGCTGATTGTGAAGATATCTCTGGCCAAAATCAGTTGTGGTTTTGAGTTTCTATATCATTGGCAACGAGAAGAAAAATAATTTGAAAATGAAACCAAACAAAAGCAGTTTTAACAGAACCAAAGAATGGAAGGAAGAAAGGAAGAAATGATACCCTTTGGCTCATCGATACTCTCCCATCTAAATAACGAGCCGAACGTTCTGAGCCTTGACCAGCTCTGAAAACAGCACTGCAGTGCCAGGTTCACTTCCTGTGCAGGAAGGAACATGGAGGCCTGTTCCTATGGCAACTCTTGCCTCAGCTGAAAACCAGTGAAACAAGTTGAGACACTAGAGAACAGCCGGAAAAACACAGTGACTAACTCAGCTTGTACTCCAAACAACACCCAGGGAAAGTGAATGAACTGGTTGGAAAACAAATGAAGGATGCACAGGCTGGATGTTGTTGGTTGTGGGTAGTTTAAGGACAATCATTAAGGGCAGATGAAGGGCAAACCAGATAATACTAATCAGATGAGGCAGGTTCTCCTCTGGTGATCCCAGGAGCCTAACTAGATACCCAGGGTGCAGGCCACATAACAAACATGCTGACAAAGCATCAGAAAGCCTATTTACAGATGAGGGCGTCTCAGCACCCATGAGCAGTCCTTTCTGGAATATATTACTCGGTTCTAGCAAGCCGGATCATCAGATGGTGACATTACACTCAGCCACTAGTTCAAGGTGAGTTGAATAACCTCCAGGAAATTGTAATTCTGAAGCCTCAAATCTCTATTTTGAAAAAGAGTGAGGGAGAGATGGTGACATTACACTCAGCCACTAGTTCAAGGTGAGTTGAATAACCTCCAGGAAATTGTAGTTCTGAAGCCTCAAATCTCTATTTTGAAAAAGAGTGAGGGAGAGAGAGAGAAGAAAGAGAATGAGAGAGAGAGGAGAGAAAGAGAGATCTGGTCTAGAACAAGATTTGCCCACTTCTGTGTGAACACTGGCAAGGCAATTTATCTATCATCTAGGTCTTCATCTTCTCATTAGTAAATCTGAGATTTATGTCTGTTCTATATTTTCTCAATTCATTGCAAACAGGTGTAATTTTT